ATTATTTCGACAGATGGATTGAACTTTCAGGGACAGCGCAGGAGTACGATGAGCTTAGAGAGCTCCTAATTAGAGAACAATTTCTTACTAGTTGCCACCCAGGCCTGTCACTGTACTTGAAATAGAGGAGAGCTAAGTCACTTGAAGACATGCTTGAATTGGCTGATCAATTCTTGGAAGCGCAAGGTGGCACAAATTTGGCCGGAGTCAAGAAGGAGTGTCCCGAAGATTCGAAAAATTCGGCACCCGAACAAAAGAAGCGTGCACCGGAGAGTGTTCCGCGATGTTTTCTGTGTAACCGAGTGGGTCATCGCACGAACAACTGTCGTACTAACTTTACGAGCCCTACGGTAGTAAAATGTTTCAAGTGTGGTCAGACTGGGCACAAAGTAAACGCATGTCGTAACGGAGTGAGTCAAACTCACCGGGTATCCTGTGTGCTAACAGCACCGAAATCGGATGGTGATGCTGTCACCGACGGATTTGTAGAGTCGAAAAGTGGGGAGAAACTTCCTATTGTGGGTGCTGTAATGACAAAACAGCCAACTGGTGTTACGAAAGGAATGCCAACGCTGCCTGTAAAAGTTGCGGGCAAGAAGGTTACGGTGTTAAGAGATACCGGCAGCTCCACTGTTATCGTGCGGAAAAACTTGGTACGGGAAAGTGAGTTAAGAGGCAAAACGAAACCAGTCTGCCTAATTGACAGTACGGTTCGGATGCTTCCCGAAGCAGAAATCGTGGTTGAAAACTCCGTACTTCAACGGGAAGGTTACGGCTCTATGCATGACGACCCCCCCGTACGACCTCGTCATCGGAAACATCGACGGGGCGCGAGGGCCGAATGATCCAGAATGTTTGGAGGAAGACCCGAAGATGGAGGCCCCGCCGACACAGGGACCGCGAGATACAGTGGAGGAGCATCCCGTGACGGATGTCACTCGAGCCCAAGGGGAAGCCGCAGTGCAAGGGACAGTGAATGAGAAAATGATCGTGTTGAATGAGTTCGCGTGCTGGGCAGCTGGACTTACGTCGGCACGACCTCAACTGACCGACAATGTAAAGATGACGGAGTCGGCCAGCCAGGCACAATGTCATGACATGAACAAGCGGGTGAATGACCGAACAGGATCGGTTGAACGTTATCACCCGTTAACAGTGACGGAAGGGACAACGATGGCTGAAACGCCGCCTCAGACCCCGTCGTTGGAAAGGGCTCGCCGAAAAAGAACGAGGAAAAATAAGAAGAGATCGAGCGAGCACCGCAAGAAAGGACGCAAGCGCAGCTCGAAGTACACGGTATAGGTGCTGAGGTCAAATCGGAATGCGTTTGGCTGTGTTGTTATTGCGTTATCCTGTGTAACAAGTGTCGAAGTGTTTGTGCTTTGACGTGATTTATAGGGTTGTGCAATTGTTGTACTGAGAGAACTTTGTACATTTGTATTGTCTGGAATATGTGATGGAGTGTTGTACTCATGCACCTGTCGTTATATTTCATGTGTTGTGAGATTGAAGTACAATGTACAATTGTATTGAGTGATATATTGTGAATGTGACGTGTCATGAGCGACGGACTAGGTTACATTCTTTCAGAGTGTGGGGACTGTTCGCGCTCGTTGGTGTGGTTTTAAATATTATGAGATAATATTCTTAAAGTGGGGGCAGTGTCACAAAACGAGCGCACAAAAGGGCGCGCCGCCACATTCTCGCGACGAAACGCCGGCGTGACGCCGCGAGGTCAACAATAATAAAAAAAGAAAACAAGCACCCAAAGACTCCCCGGGCGAGCGTCCTTCTCCCCTCGGAAGCGGGGGTTCGCTGACGAACCTCCTCTCATCGGCGCCCGAGCAAGCCCTCGAATGTTCTAGATGTAAAGGGGTAGGGTGATGCCAGGTTGCGTCATCCGACGCGGACGGCCTTCGAACCATCTCGCCCTCTCCCCAGCCTTCGCTGCGTATCGCGCCGACGAAACGATGAGAACTTTCTGGAATCTCGCGCGGAAGGTATTTAATCGAGCAGCCGAGATGAGAGATCAGGAGAAGACGGAACTTAGCGCTAGAGCGCGTAAGGATTCCGCCGTGTAGTCGGCGAAGGTTTTGTCCGTAGAGACAAAGCAGGAGAAGAAGATGATTTCCACCTGAGGGGTGACGACTCGAGCTACAGGCAAGAGTGTGTGTTTACCGCTATCGAGCGAAGACGCGTGGCAACAGCTGCGTGTGGGAAGCCGACGTGTTTCCGGCGAAGAAGTTTGGAGCCTGGAGAACGTCAAGTGAAAAAGCGAGGTTTTCTGGAAAAGAAACTTCGGAGGCAGCAGAGCGAGGTTTCCTGGAAGAGAAACTTCGGGGGCAGCGGAACGACAACAACATTGGACTTTGAGTGAGTGATTCTCGGAAGAGTATCATCCAGACTTTTGTTCCAAGAACTTTGGACTGAATAGGTTTTCTATCTCTTTATTCTTTAAGGGTCTTGGTTGTTCAATGCATGCGACTGCGTTGTAGTGCGTATTGTTGTCTGTGTCCGTTGCTTCGAGTGTGGCTTATTGTACTGTGTAGTACATTGTCTGATTGGTGGCATATTGTATTTAACTATTGTGGAGTGTTCATACTTGTGTATTGTTTTTGATCTGCCATTATTGAGAATATATTATTGTTTTGTTTATCAACTCTCATCTCTGACTTGTTCTTTGGACCACAGCCGGCGTCCGCTGGCGCGCCAAATAGGACCACTTCTAAATTGTCCACGCTTTCATGGTGCGGTTTGGGGGGCCGATACTTCGGCCCTTGGAACTAGCCCGGCGATTGCCTCCCAAATTAGCGGGACCTGTGACACTGAGTTAACCCGAGAGGTCATGGTGAGATCTGGTGATGTGTCTTTAGAGACGCTGTTCCCTAAGCGGGTAAGCATGTCGAAGTCATTGTGCAGGGTGAGTTGATGATCCTGTATGTGGGCCCATAAGGCTCATCCTTTAGGCGTGGATGTTGTGTGACCCTATAACTGATTTGGAGAATTGAAGTCGCCAACAATGAGCAGTGGGTTTCTCCGGGCTTCCTGTTTAGCCCGAGCAAAAATGGTGGTAAATCCGCGGTGTCTTGAGCTGGGACTGCTGTAAATATTAAGAATGTAAAGAGGATCTGACCTCGTCTTTTCAAGAAGTATTTCTACGAAGTCATGATCGATGTCGATACCGTCAAAATATGGGCAAGTGACGGTTAAGTGCTTTTGGGCTAAAATTGCGGTATTAGGGCGTTCGCATCTTGTGCTCTGGAATGTGGCGCATACCCACTTCAGGCATAATTCCTCATCGACCTCAGACACTGCATGAAAAATAGCACAAAATTCCTTGCAAGCGTTTAGCGAATACCACGATTCTCAGAACAATGACAAAAAAAGCGCAGCGAATGCCGGCCTACTACCCAAAAATGTTTATTATTAATGCTGTAGTGGGTATCAAGCAAGTGAGCTTGCAGCAGTTACCCAACGAGTGTTTGGAAAGGGCTCTGAAAGGACACTCTTCTGGATTTCGCTGCGACTTTGCTCCGCCTTCTGCGCAGGCCTGGCGTTCTTATTATTTTATTTGCATCTTTTTCAATTTTTTCACTCCCGCAAATATGCTTTTTCGCTCACAAGCAACGACACCGACCCCACCGCCAGAATTTCTTTAACGCTGTCGCGTAAATATAATGTCTAACTAAAAAAAACGAGTCCTTAAATGCACACTTCTTTCCTTTACTATTATGTTAATCATGCACTACGGACAATCACAATTCACTTGCTACTCATTCACAAAACATTTGGTTCATTATAATGGCAGGTGTATACGTACGTGAACGTACGTACGTTGTTTTTTTTTTCGAAAGAATTCATGCAATCTCTGTCCTTCACTTTGATTTGAATGAAATTTAGAACAATTGAGTGTCATTGCTTCATATTGGAAAACAGTTTTCTTCGAATATTCTTGTTATTAAAAAATTTGATATTCCAGTATTTCAAAGAACATAGAAGGCACAGAGAGTTTCCAAGCCTTGCGAGTCAACTCTATGCTTCACTTGAAAAAAGGAAAAACATTTTTGAAAGAAAATGAGAATGTCCCCGCCTCAATCATTTCGTCCATCGTAATTCGCTGCTACTCGTAAACATGTGTGCATTTGTAAAACTAAGCATGCACACGCACTCGAGATGTTCAGACAGTGAGATATTAGAATATAGTCTGATATGAATACTCGCGGGAAAAATGACGCCCGGATGTTGAATCAATACAATCTCGTTAAAATTAAGAAAAATAATTAGGCTTGAATAAAAAGGCCATAAAAACGAACGTAAATGCCTAGGGACACAATTTTATACGTTGAAGTAATGCTGTTCTCAAGCCCACGCTTGCTTAATTCCAAATTCGCAAATAAGAAAAAGCTGCTTGAATTTATTTAGCACGCTATGAAAAATGCCAGAAATGCGGCCAAACATAAGGAAGTTACAAAATAATGCAGAGTATTAGTTTTTTTAATGGTACAATTTTCATTGCAGTACTGTAGGTTATAAAAGGATTGAAACATCTAGGAGGAATAAACTTAATTTTATTCTTGCCCGAATTAAGACAAATTTGTATTCTCGTTGAATCATTACAAATTGATCCACACAGCGTGCTCCATTCATGCGTTCAGAAACTGGCGCCCACACGAAATAAAGATACACTGACGCACAGTCAGTAACCACCAGCACGACGAACCGTCTCATCAAAACGTCCCCTTATCAATGTTGCAGGTCATCATGCAATTCCTTGAAGCCAATTACTGGAGAAGCTCTTACACTGTTAAACTCGGCAACCAAGCATAACGAACAGTTAAGGCCTGGAGTGTATCCACATTCACTAAATAGGCCGGGCGTTGCCAGTTCAGGCATCGTTAGTACTGTGTAATATGATCAGTGTCACTTTGTTCATTTCCAAAATGCGCACTGCATTTTTTTCAGATACCTACCGTTAATTTTTTATTCGGTATTTACCTGTGGCCTTGCGACATTCCCGGTGATGGAAACTCGCTCAGTCGTTTGCGAGCCAGCGCCATCGTTTCGCTCTCCGGCATTCGGACGTTGTGGAGGAGCTGTCGACAGACAAGTTATATCAGTGTCGGCCCTCAGCTGTGTCAATACGCCTCTTTGCGTAACTCCCCCACCCCTTTCCCCTGTGCAGGATAGCGTAACAGCCCTCTCAAGCTGCATGGCTAACATCCCCGTCTTTCCTTCCTGTACCTCCCTTCCTTGCTCCGACTATAGCCGTACGCGTTGGAAACAATACGCTCAAGCTCACTGACATAGTCTTACGCAGGGTGGCGTGGGAGAGGAGGCGGGGGTGGGCGGGAAGCTCCTAGTTGCCTAAGAGGGGTGGGGAGGATTGACATAATAGGGAGGGAGGCACTGCGAGCAGCATTCACTCCTCCATTCTCCCACGAAAGGAAATGCAGCGCACACCTATAATATATATATATATATATATATAATATATAGTATATATATATATATATATATATATATATATATATATATATATATATTATATATATGCTCATTGGTGTTTCGCTTATAGGCGGCAGTGACCCAATGTAGAGCTCGAATCCATTGTTTCGGTTACTGACGAACACCTCTGCTTCGAAGAATGAAGAGCTGATGAGGTGCAAGCGACGAATATCAAGCTGCATGCAAGAAGCTGCCGAGCCACCAGAATGTTTTTTTTCTTTTACAGCTTTCTTTCTGGTGTGTTTTGTCACACATACTTACTCGTAGCTTGTCGAGATGGAGTAGAAGAGCTGTTCCCCATCTTGGAAGGAAGCTGCAAATAAAGAGGGAATTGAGCACGCCTTCCAACACGCAGCACAAGACTTATTCGGGTTGAGTACGACTTGAAGGGCTATAATGTTATTTTATGAATGTATATTTCTTGTTCGGGAAAATGAGGCGTTAATTTCAGCACAATAATGAGAGCGGCACCAGCAATCTGCGGTTTCACTGCCTACAACTGGCGTCCGCCCACTGGAGTGAGGCAAGTACACATGAAAGAGATAAAGGAGGACGCCTCGAAAAATCGCCGCCAAAGCATTCCGTTAAAAAAATGGTTAGAAAGAGAAAGCTGAAACGTGCGGCCCCGGTGTCTAACAGTGGTTTGAGCCCGATGTGACACGGAAGCCTTTCGCAATTATTGGTTACATGTCCGTGCTTCTGAATGAGGTTGGGCACGTTTGGTTTGGGTTTACCATAGCCTTTGTTTCACATGGCGCACATTGCGTCGCGCATGATCACGGTCATGGAGGAGCGTACTGAGGGGTTCAAATGCGTTTCGCAACGCGTTAATCATAGTGGTTGTCCTCGAACCACAGGCGGTCACAGACGTCGCTGCCGAAGCCAATGTGCCGCTGAGAAAACTCCCGCCCAAAGCGTGCGTTCGCCCCCATACGAACGCTCTCCCGCAATCTTCGCGTTGACGCTGTCGTTCCCGCTACGGCACCGCGTTGTTGCAAGCGCTTGACATCGCGAGCGTGGTTTGCAGGATCCGTCCGTCACTGGCGCTTGCGTTCCCATTCGCGATTTAGCGCAACTTGGAAAGCTGCCGGGTCGGCGGTACAACAACCGGATCCGGGCACAACACATGCCGGATCCGGGCACTAAAACAGGCTCTCCCTGGCTTGTTGTTGTGCCCGGATTGTCACATCGGCTCGACGAATGCGAGTCCTCTCACGTTCTCACGGTCGGCGCTTTCATAGAGTTGTCCGTCGCATACCCATGCCCTGGATAACTTATGTATATTATTTTATATGTATTATCTTTTTCGCATCACTAAAAACTTCTTCTCTTTCTCCTCCTTCTCCTCCTCCTCTGAGCCACCACCCGATCTAAAGGGCACCACCGGATACATCCACCCATCCATTCATCCGTATAGCGTAAGTGTATATAGCGTAAGTGTATATGCTACATTTAGGCAGCACAGTAGCGCATTTGCTTTGGATAGCCGCTAGCAACCATGCGCTGCGGAGAAGCTGGTGCACAGGCCGCACCACCAAAAGCGGTCGCCGTGCAACTAGAATTTATAAAGTGACTGTCGTGCGCGCTGTAGATCGTTAGCTACGAGCTGGTACTCACATTCGCTTTAGATTCATGTCCTTAAGCTTCGACAGCAAAGTATTTGCGTGGATTCGGTGCCATTTTCAAAAAAACATACTGAAATAATCAATGCTGTTGGCTAGGTGGGGCGTTCCTTGAACTTGCAGGACCTATATTTTGTGATTGTGAATTTCAGCTCATCTTCCATAGCGTGCGCCACTTCACCATGCGGTAAGGTACATGCTATTCGGCACTACGCTACGCCTTATTAGCGCTTTAGTTACCGGACAGACTAAAATTGCCTGTTTAATTCCCGTGGCACAGTCCCGAAAGCATCTGTTTCTTTTTTCTTGGCCACTTGTTGACACGCCAGGCACGTCGACTGGCAAGTGGCGCGACACGCTTCGTCGATTGGCAACAGACTTAAGCAAATCTCATGCAAAAACAGAGTACGGCTTCGCCGCGTAATTATCGTTGCTAACCTCGCAAGATGGCGGGCCTATGCGCTACTCTGCTCCCGTAAGTAGCGTATACAGTTACTCTATACATGTAATGCATGTTGCGCGCTTTCTCTTGCACCCGGAGTCACCGGATGGAAGACGAGGCCGCGGAGCGGGGTGAAGGGAAAGCGGTGTTGTGCCACAGACATGTTCCTCGTTCGGGAGCACGTCTCACAAGATGGAGCGCTGTTTCGACGAACTGTCTCCCCCCCCCCCTCGCAGCGCCGCCTTCTGTGCAGGAGAACCGTGCAGCTCCGGGGATAACGTCGCTTCCTCCGCCGAACCACTTTGCAGTTCCGGGTATGGCTACGTCTCCCCCTCCGAGCCCGAGAACTGGTCTGAGAGAATGGACCAAAGACGCTATTTCAGGCCGAGCCGGCCCCATGTTAGGAGATTTCGCCCCAGCCGACGTTCTCGCGCTGGCCGGCTATGTACAAACGACAACCTGCTACAGTAAACGCTCCTTTTGTTGCTGTTTTCCAAACGGATTGCCTCCCTGTTTCACCTTCGGGCTAAGGCTTCAGCGAAGTCCGCTCGACGGCTCGCCGCTCTTCGCCACCGCTACCATCGCGACAGAGCAAATTCTTAACAGCGGCGGCAGCGCGCGTTCGCGGGCAAAATCCTGAGGCGAGAGCTTGGAATGCCGAGGCTGCTCGACAAGCTCAGCGGCAGCGGCGCGAAGACCCTGCCCTTCGCGAACGTGGAGCAGCGGCACTGTAGCGGCGTTGTTCGATCGTGACAACTATAGGCAAGGACAGACAGACAGACAGACAGACAGACAGACAGACAGACAGACAGACAGACAGACAGACAGACAGACAGACAGACAGACAGACAGACAGACAGACAGACAGACAGACAGACAGACAGACAGACAGACAGACAGACAGACAGACAGACAGACAGATAGATAGATAGATAGATAGATAGATAGATAGATAGATAGATAGATAGATAGATAGATAGATAGATAGATAGATAGATAGATAGATAGATAGATAGATAGATAGATAGATAGATAGATAGATAGATAGATAGATAGATAGATAGATAGATAGATAGATAGATAGATAGATAGATAGATAGATAGATAGATAGATAGATAGATAGATAGATAGATAGATAGACAGACAGACAGACAGACAGACAGACAGACAGACAGACAGACAGACAGACAGACAGACAGATAATAGATAGATAGATAGATAGATAGATAGATAGATAGATAGATAGATATAGATAGATAGATAGATAGATAGATAGATAGATAGATAGATAGATAGATAGATAGATAGATAGATAGATAGATAGATAGATAGATAGATAGATAGATAGATAGATAGATAGATAGATAGATAGATAGATAGATAGATAGATAGATAGATAGATAGATACTTTACCCCACTCATTATCATTCCCACCGTGAATATGCTGCATTTTTTTTTTTGCCAGGCTCGCGCAGTGGTCCTACTGTTCGAAAACCCCAGTGAAGGGGTGTGCTTTATTTCACTGTGCGTGTCTACGTGTGCGCGTATAGCTGTTCTCCCAAGGTTACTTTAAGAATGTTCTGATAAACTTGGATGGTGTTTCATTGTTTACGAAATCAGCTCTGAGTTAGCATGTATTTGGAAGTAGCTGCCCAGAATTACAAATCACTCTTCGCTTTTTAGAAAGAAAACTACAATAAAAACGTTTCTCGTCGCGATCAGGTGAATCTTATTTAAAACTCGGAACTTTTTCAAGCTGCTAGCTTTCCCAGGTCTGTGATTGAATTAATTTGTTCATTCGCTCGTAAGCGCGTACCTCCACGGTTTGTGCAGCACCATTTTTATTACCCCTGGCAGCACGATTCAGCCTAGTATTTACGTACAAGCTCCAGCCGCGTGACAATGGGCAGGCACTATCTCACCCTGTACTTTAAGCCTCCGTGTATTATCTGTCCCGTTTTATTTTTTATTTCATGTCTCTGCGGGAATGCTTTCCGATAACGCCCTTAGAAACAGCTGGAGCGATATTGGCAACTTCGAATCAAGCACGTAGGATATTAGCAGCTGACTTCGATACTCGAGGGAGATGTACCACTCTGTACGATACATTTCGGTGCATTGCTTGCAAGGTACATTGTAGTGTGTAACGAAGACGTATGAGCCCTCTCTGTTATACGCTGTTAATATTCTTTCCTTTTTTTAAGCTAAGCTGTGTATGACTAAATTCTGTCGTATGGCGTAGGTGAAGAAATACGCACTTTTTGGTGGTTCCATATACTTGACTAATCCACCATTTGCGGGTGTAGAAAAATGAACTTGGCGTAAGGGTAAAAACAAAGGTGTTTCGCCGACGTGGCGAAATGAACAATTCCGCCTCGAAGAGAAGAGACGTACTTGCATAACAAACGAACGTCGTGGCCTTTTTCTTTTGTATTTTCGAAGCAACCAGGTTTTTGTACACTATAGATAAAGGATTTCCTTTAGAGACAGCCTTTGACCACCGTTGATGAGGGTAGCATACGTCATGCGCAAGAGAAACACCAGGATGTTCGAGTGGATGCAGCTTTTAATCACGGACCTGCTTAAGCCAAGGCTTGGTCCATGATGGGTGAAAAGATAGATAATGATCACAAACCGGCCCGTACCCTCTTTTTAATCTTCTGATTCAGCGCAGAACACCTGCACCAATTTCTTCAAGTGGGATAGGTGAGACTCCGATGAGTGAGAGAACGACAGTGAAGGAGAAAGAAAGATAGAAAAACAAAGACACGAGAAACTGACACGTTCTTCCCGAAAGAACTTTCTTCGCAAGACGCGATTTGAAGCTGCGTAAACGCACGATCGCAAGCGCATCGTGACCATTCGGCTATCCATGGCTTCTTTTTCTTTATTGCCTATGTACCGTTCGGCTATCCAGGCACCACGCTTACTACACTATATGGGCAAGACTATATGATACGCACGTTAACGTGGCCTATAGGACAGCCTTGTATGTTTAGTGTAGCAAGTGGGTGAGTAACAATTCCGGGTGGTGAGACCGGGAAAAAGTAAGGCAAAGCAGAAAGGCTGAGAAAGAGAACTTGAGAGAAAGACATAAAGATAATCAAACAACGCGGGGAAAAGATATAGAGGGAGAGAGAAGTAAAGAGAAATGAGCAGAGAAAAGACAGACAAGAAGTAGATAAAAGAGAAATTACATGTAGGGTTTTACGTCCCAAAACCAACACATTACGAGTGACGCCGTATAGCAAAGGGTTCCGGAAATTTCGGCTATGTGGTGTTCTTTAGCGTTCACTAACATAACACAGATACGGGGGCCAATTCGTCTCCACCGAAATGCGACCACCCCAACAGGAATCGAACCCGTGACCTTCTGACCAACCACCGCTCCACCACGGCAGACGAACAGATGAATAAAGAGAAAACTAAAGAGAGACAAAGAAGGCTGCCCAGCTCCGGACATTTTTCAGGCTTGGGAACAATATATATAGTGCGTAGGTAGGTTAATTTGTGTTGGCACAGAATAGTGAATGATAATATGTGAATTCAGTGTATAGCGATATTTCTTATACCAGACCACCGATGGTCACAGCTTTGCTGGCTTTAACAATCACTTCAGTGGAAGGGCTCTGATTTTTTTTTCTTTCTTCCACAACGACCCCACGTGGGAGGCCTGTAGGTGCCACTCAAATTGCAGGTTCTCAACAAAACTTACTCCTCCTCCTCCTCCTCCTCCTCATTTGTTCAATAAGCAAGCGTTATTGCGTGGCACAATAGCATTTGTTTACGCGCACAGCGCTAGGCTTACATAGAGGTATGAAACAAAAGCGTATGGTGCTATTACATGAGATGCACAATGTAATACTTACGGACACAATCGACAAGCGCAAACCCGACTGCCCTATTAAGCCGCCAGAAATCATCTGTGACGCCATATCTGCTTATCGTCGGCTATTGCGAACCTTAATGCCTCTGACAGCAGTATGTGATTGTAAGCCCTCCCCGCCCCCCACACAGACATTTATTATAGTCTATATTATCGCCGCACACGAACGAAAACGAACTGATTACACAGACCGCTACGTGAGGCAAGAATGGAGCACACACACACAATATATATATATATATATATATATATATATATATATATATATATATATATATATATATATATATATATATATATAATGAGATATAACAGACAGTAATGCCAAGGAATGTACAGGGGAAGTTATTAACATTAATGGAATGTAAATAAGAAGAAGAAAAGTGGATGAAAAAATTACCAACTGTAAGCAGGAATCGAACCTACGACCTTCGAAGCGTAATTCGAAGGTCGTAGGTTCGATTCCTGCTTACAGTTGGTAATTTTTTCATCCACTTTTCTTTCTTTTTATTTACATTCCATTAATGTTAATAACTTCCCCTGTACATTCCTTGGCATTACTGTCTGTTATATCTCATTATTATTGTGTTAAAAACACGGAAAAACGAGCCCTTAGGTATACACTTCTTTCCCTTATTCATTGAACGAGGGGTCTCGTACTGGCAGACTTGGTGTGTTTAGGTTGTATAAGAGGGACAATTAATCAGCTGCCCGCTCATAATAAGTTCACGTGCTACGTGACGCCAAACATGCGCATAAGAGTGTTTTCACACTCGTTGTTTGGCTTATAGATGGCGCTGACTGTCGCTCCTACTTCTAAATTCACAGATAAACCAAAAAAGTGGATGGAGGGAGCGCCGCTGTAATAGCTCAGTGGTTAGAGCATCGAACGCGTAATTCGAAGGTCGTAGGTTCGATTCCCTGCTTACAGGTGGTAATTTTTTCATCCACTTTTCTTTCTTCTTATTTACATTCCATTAATGTTAATAACTTCCCCTGTACATTCCTTGGCATTACTGTCTGTTATATCTCATTATTATTGTGTTAAACACGGAAAAAACGAGCCCTTAGGTATACACTTCTTTCCCTTATTTCATTGAACGAGGGTCTCGTACTGGCAGACTTGGTGTGTTTAGGTTGTATAAGAGGGACAATTAATCAGCTGCCCGCTCATAATAAGTTCACGTGCTAGTGACGCCAAACATGCGCATAAGAGTGTTTTCACACTCGTTGTTTGGCTTATAGATGGCGCTGACTGTCGCTCCTACTTCTAAATTCACAGATAAACCAAAAAAAGTGGATGGAGGGAGTGCCGCTGTAATAGCTCAGTGGTTAGAGCATCGAACGCGTAATTCGAAGGTCGTAGGTTCGATTCCTGCTTACAGTTGGTAATTTTTTCATCCACTTTTCTTTCTTCTTATTTACATTCCATTAATGTTAATAACTTCCCCTGTACATTCCTTGGCATTACTGTCTGTTATATCTCATTATTATTGTGTTAAAACACGGAAAAAACGAGCCCTTAGGTATACACTTCTTTCCCTTATTTCATTGAACGAGGGTCTCGTACTGGCAGACTTGGTGTGTTTAGGTTGTATAAGAGGGACAATTAATCAGCTGCCCGCTCATAATAAGTTCACGTGCTACATGACGCCAAACATGCGCATAAGAGTGTTTTCACACTCGTTGTTTGGCTTATAGATGGCGCTGACTGTCGCTCCTACTTCTAAATTCACAGATAAACCAAAAAAAGTGGATGGAGGGAGTGCCGCTGTAATAGCTCAGTGGTTAGAGCATCGAACGCGTAATTCGAAGGTCGTAGGTTCGATTCCTGCTTACAGTTGGTAATTTTTTCATCCACTTTTCTTTCTTCTTATTTACATTCCATTAATGTTAATAACTTCCCCTGTACATTCCTTGGCATTACTGTCTGTTATATCTCATTATTATTGTGTTAAAAACACGGAAAAAACGAGCCCTTAGGTATACACTTCTTTCCCTTATTTCATTGAACGAGGGTCTCGTACTGGCAGACTTGGTGTGTTTAGGTTGTATAAGAGGGACGATTAATCAGCTGCCCGCTCATAATAAGTTCACGTGCTACGTGACGCCAAACATGCGCATAAGAGTGTTTTCACACTCGTTGTTTGGCTTATAGATGGCGCTGACTGTCGCTCCTACTTCTAAATTCACAGATAAACCAAAAAAGTGGATGGAGGGAATGCCGCTGTAATAGCTCAGTGGTTAGAGCATCGAACGCGTAATTCGAAGGTCGTAGGTTCGATTCCTGCTTACAGTTGGTAATTTTTTCATCCACTTTTCTTTCTCCTTATTTACATTCCATTAATGTTAATAACTTCCCCTGTACATTCCTTGGCATTACTGTCTGTTATATCTCATTATTATTGTGTTAAAAACACGGAAAAACGAGCCCTTAGGTATACACTTCTTTCCCTTATGTATATATATATATATATATATATATTCGGCTATCGCGTGTCAGTTACACCTCTCCTGAATCGACATGATTTCATGCAGCAAAACGGGATGTTGGGTAACTTCACTGGTACATTAACATGCACAGACATGGACTCAAAAAAGTAAAAATAACAAAATTAATGCTTCGTTTTTCTTTTTTTTTTTGCTGTGTATGTGTTGACGTGCTTGACTTTTGGTAATGTGAACCATTTCATAGATTTAATGTCGTGGCCGGTGCCCGTTACCGTTGGTGGGGTGACTGCGATTTAGCAGAACGACTTTACACCGTCTGTCATATATAGAGAATCGCTAGATTGCAACACACACACACACACACACACACACACACACACACACACACACACACACACACACACACAAGAAGTGAAAGAGGGGACCCTTAATATTCGTCTTTGAGAGTTGAACATGATAGCGTTATCCACACGTACGCACGCTCACACACAGATAATCACGTTTCCAATCTTTAGTGCACACTCCCTTTTTAGTGAAGACCAAAACTGAGCCCCAATCGAGAAAATCAAAAGTGAAAATGCCATCAGGTTCACATCTTTACTTGCGTCTATATCGAATTTTCGCTCACGGCTAAATCACATTTTTTCGCTCACAGCCAAAGACGCCTCCGGCTACATCGGAATTTCTGCGAAACAACGAGCTCTTTGACGCTATCGCGTTAACACCTTCCCCACAGCTCCCGCCTTTCCCTTTCCACGCAAACGCACAACAACCGGACAACGCCCCTGTCAACGTTCAAACAGGCGAAATACGCATTGCACTGCTTCACACCTCGTGAAACCATCAGGGAAGGCAAATCGTTAGCATAAGCACCGACACACGTAGCCTAACAGGCGTCCTTACGTGCCGACAGCATCCATGCTGCAAGTATAAACATGCAGCCACACAGGGTGGGCCCATTTTATACTCACTGTGTCGGGCGTCCGCGGGCACTCACTGTGCGGTGTGGCGCTGCACACGCTTGAAGTGTCAACCACTACGAAAACATCGAAACGAAGATTCGCACAGTCCGTTATACACGCGTAGACAGCGCGAAGTGACGCTCCTTGGCGTCGTCGGCGTGCAGTTGTGCCGAGGACTCACTTCTTCCTGTTTGAACGACGCGATTGCCACAGTCTCCGGCAACGCTTCTCAATAGTCTCCGCGCTATCGTGCATCGTTACAGCATCCGCGTTTAATGAAAAAAAAAAGCAGCAAAGATAAATCTTTCGCGCTCTCGATCACGTGTTCCGGCTAAGCCCGCCCTCTGCCAGCCGCGCCGTCGGTCGCTTGACGCGCTCTCACGCCTTCTTATCATTCGAAATAAATACGGGCGCGAAACAAAACGCCCGCTTCTGCATGGCGCAGGTCATTGAGCATAAGCAATTCTAGACGTAAGTGTAATTGTCAATGGTCTAGCAGAAGCGTAGCCGGAGGGTAGCATGCCGGGCACTCCCCCCCCCCCCTCCAGAAATATTTTTTCACCATTCCGTCTCGTATAACTGACTAAACATTTTTACCTTACCCGGAGACCGTACCCTCCACCATACAGAAAACTAAGCAGACCCCCGGCTCTGACACTCGGGCTTCTTCAGGTCGGGGCATACCCTAACACCGCACTAGTGAACAAAATTTATCACGAAATATAGCCAACTAATATATGTCCCTTCTGCGACGCTATAGCTAACTTGGAACATATACTCTGGCGGTGTCCCGCGTTACGCTGTGGGGAAGGTCATCGCGCCGTCCAAATGGGACGGCGCTATTGCAAGCTCCGGACTCGAACAACAGTTACGGGCAGACCAACGGGCCAACGTGGGAGCGGCCTGCCACGTGCTAAAGCACGTTTCGATGGACAAAATAAAGTTCATCCATCCGTAGCATCGAGAGCACAAAAGTAATTTCTAAAATAGGTGCCCCCCCTCCCAAAAAAAGAGAAAGAAGAAATGCTGGCTACGCACCAGCAGCTATGCAATGGCGCCATAATAACTTGCGGGATAAGCTTACTTTCGCGCCATAAACACCAAGCACACTAGAGCACTTCCTACAGCGTTTGCGTTGTGTGGAACTGTGTACGTATCTTTCTAAAAAAATATTTGAGCGCTAAAATTAACATACATGCCTTGAGTCTTTTGTATATGAATGATATTGTGCGGTAAATATATCGCCTATAACTGATATTTTAGCTAATGGAATGCGAAGATGATGTGTGCAGTTCTTTTTCTCCTCTTCTTCTTCTTTCCTATTATGTTTATAGCGCGTCTGTTTGGACCCATTTAGTTTCCAGCTACATAACACTTTGTGTCTCTCATGCCAGTCGACAAAATGCCGAGACTAAAGAAAGACCTTTCAGCAACCGAAAATTCATGGAAACCAATGCAGTTAGTTCTCTTGCAAGCACGAAAAGATGTCAGGTGGCGTACACTGAGGCGCCGCATTCTGAACCTCCAAGCTCTTCAACGCCAAAGCTTAAGACTTTTCAACTTTTCCAGCGTCCATCGAGGAGAATCGCGCGTATACTTATAGGATGGCAACGGCTATGTTCTAATAGGAAAGATGATTGATATGTGGGATTTAACGTCCCAAAACCACCATAAGATTATGAGAGACGCCGTAGTGGAGGGCTCCGGAAATTTCGACCACCTCGGGTTCTTCAACGTGCACCCAAATCTGAGCACTCGGGCCTACAACATTTCCGCCTCCATCGGAAATGCAGCCGGCGCAGCTGGGATTTGACTTCGCAACCTGCGGGTCAGCAGCCGAGTACCCTTAGCCACTAGACCACCACGGCGGGGTATTCTAATAGGAAAGACAGGCTCAAGTCTGCGCTGCGCCATTGGCCGCCGTAGCGAAAAGAGGGCAAAGCACCGGGTGCTCGGACAGGCTGCGCTTGCTGGGTCTTCAAATTGTGCGCACAGAAACGCGTTTCCTTGAGCGCTTATCTCGCATTTCGCACACTATGGGCGCCGCTCCTTCGTCATCCTGAAAAGCCTGCACGCACTACTGCTGCATTGTCAGCTGCTACAAAAGCTTGACATGCCAAATACCTCAAACTGCCCATCAAGTTCTAACGTTTCCAATACAAGCAGTGATTGGCAGGATAGTGCTCGCTCAAAGACATCGGTTTGACTTGCTTTCAGGTGGTCGAAAGTTCCGGAGCACTCCACTACGGCGTCTCTCATAATCATATGGTGGTTTTGGGACGTTAAACCCCACATATCAAACAATTTGACTTGCACTGTCAAGTGAGTCGTTCTTGGTTCTGACAAGATTCACACCGTGAAAAGGTTTTCACAATCTTTTAAATGCAAAGCATTTTTAGCGAACTTCGGCGACATTGAGCGTATCTTATCTATCTATCTATCTATCTATCTATCTATCTATCTATCTATCTATCTATCTATCTATCTATCTATCTATCTATCTATCTATCCGCTTACGTTTGGGTGCTCTTGTGGCCACCCATTTATTGGCGTGAACTAAAATTCGCATGACAGGGTAAGATTGTTTGACGAATACGACGCGCTTGTCAAGACATGAATAATGTCCCAATCCCGCCACGTACGTCGTCAAAGACTTCCCACCAAACAGTGGCACATACCCACGGGTGGGTATGTGACACTGGTAAGCAGGTATGTGCCACAGGTGATTGACACTTGGTATCTGCTCAGGAACGACGAGAACACACATGGGCAATTTTAACGCGCGAGGTTATGAAACACCCGACGTCGGTAGCGTCGACCCGAAGAGTCCCAGCTGGAATCGAACCAAGGAATTTTGGGTACCAATGAAGCATTTTACCACAGAGCTACGCCAGGTCTCGGGACTACTTTTCAAGTAGATGCTAATCTTCGTAAACTTTATTGATTGATTGATTGATTGATTGATTGATTGATTGATTGATTGATTGATTGATGATTGATTGATTGATTGATTGATTGATTGATTTGTGGGGTTTAACGTCCCAAAACCACTATATGATTGTGAGAGACGCCGTAGTGGAGGGCTCCGGAAATTTCGACCACCTGGGGTTCTTTAACGTGCACCGAAATCTGAGTACACGGGCCTACAACATTTCGCCGGGATTCGATCCCGCGACCTGCGGGTCAGCAGCCGAGTACCTTAGCCACTAGACCACCGTGGCGGGGCTCGTAAAAAGTTATTAGTGGTTTCAGTGCTGCCAACCCAGTTTTATAGGCGTTACATATGTACTATTCTGATACAGCCGTCACGTCGGGCTAATGTCAGTTGTGGTTAGTTGCCATGCGCTGAAGTTTATTATTATTTATGTATTACATACTGCAGTCCGTAGACCAAGCAGGAGGGGCACAAAAAGGGAGCATAGCGAAAAAAGCGAACAAGTTATACAGCAAGTTAGAATACACAAAGCTACTGAAAAACAAGTCATACTAAATAGGATGCTTAGTTATACATATCTATAAAAAAGCGAACAAACTTCTAGAAACAGTTTCAAGCAAAAAAAAAGTAAAGCTACACAGTTGAAATAATAAGATTAGGTAATCTAGCATTGAAATATCAACAGTGTTGATTACACAAAAAGGTGCATGTAGTTTTCGATGTCAGGAATGCCACGTTCAGGAAAAACATTTGAAGGCACACCATTCCATTCGCTAATGGTTCTCGGAAAGAAGGAATGTTTGAAAAGGTTAGTACGTGCAAAGTAAGGTGTAAGATCATGATTGTGAGCATGCCTGGTTTTCCTGGAAGAAGAGGGAGAGATGATTTACTGGGATCAATATTAAACTGATGATTACGAAGCAGGAAAAGAAACTTGAGCCTGGCGATAGTTTTACGCTGTTTCAAGAGCGGAATGTTGTTAGTAGCCATAAGTGATGAAGGTGAATCGAGATTGTGATAGGCATTATAGATGAAGCTTACCGCTCTCCTCTGGGTCATTTCAAGTTTATAAACATCCTTTTAAAATACGGGTTCCAGGCTTCGCATGCGCACTCTAGACGGGGTCTAATAAATGTATTATATGCAAGAAGTTTGATCTGCAGGAGTTGGCGCGTTATTAGTTTGTGTCTAAGAAACCCTAGTTTTCTAGGGGTGGAGGAACAAGCGTCGTCAATGTGGTTACTCCACGACAGTCGATTGGTAAAATTGACTCCCAAGTATTTAAAATTGCTCACTTCGATCAACGGATTATTATTTAAGGTGTAGCGTGATGCAAAAGGGGTAACTTTATTTGAGATACGCATATAGACCGAGTTACTAATGTTTAACCCCATCGACCAGGTATAGCACCAATCGGAGAGAGAATTTAGGTTGTTCTGCAAGCACTCTTGGTCCCTTTCACTTTTAATTGGCTTGTAAGAATGCAGTCATCTGCAAAAAGCTTTAGGCTTATGGCGGAGGTGTCAACTGATGAAACGATGTCATTGATAAAGATGAGAACAAGACAGGGCCAAGGACACTGCCTTGTGGAACTCCCGAGGTTACAGGTAGAACCCCAGAGCAGCAGCCCTCGACCTGGACAAACTGTTGCGGCTGGTAAGGTAGGAGCGGATCCAATTAATTACAGTAATGAGTAGGCCAATGTTTGAAAGTTTGGTGAGTAATTTACTATGGCAAACACAGTCGAAAGCTTTTCTAAAATCTAAGAAGATGACGTCTATTTGGTCGCCCTTATCAAGTGCCATTGCGAAGTCATGAATTGTGGTAACAAGTTGAGTGGTAGTAGAGAGGCCCTTCCTAAAACCATGCTGGAAAGGAGTCAAAATACTGTTTTCTTTAAGAAATGACATTATGTAATGCGTGATGATATGCTCAAAAGTTTACAAGGACCGGAAGGTAATGATATGGCCGGTAGTTTTCAACATTTAGGCGATCACCTTTTTTAAATACAGGAATAACACGTGCCGTACGCCAATCCTCGAAAAAATTGAATTATGAAACGAAAGACGAAAAATATGGGGGAAAACAAGCGCGATAGGTTCGGCGTAACGTTGCAAAAATGCATTAGGTATGCTTCGGAACCATCGGAAGATTTGGTCTTAACAGTAACAGTGAAAGGAAACCTTCGACAGTTATGAAATAGGCAGATATAGTAGACAGAGAAATAATGTTTGTGTCAGCATGATGTCTCTGAGTGAATACTGAGTGAAAATACTGATTGAATTGGTTTGAAATTTTGACTGGATCGT